TCATTCAACAAAATTACAATACCAAACTAAAAAATCCACTGCTGCTCCTGACAAATCTAAACTCCTACTCCTGCTGCTGAATTAAGATTACTAAAAACCAGCAAAATAAAACCCCACAGCAAAAGATATTTTCTCAAAGACACAGCTAACATTAAACAGACACAATTGTAAGAGTAATGTTTGCAAAGGGAAGGCATTTTATTTAAATGCTACTTTTTATTATCAGCAAGCGCACAAAAAGCATCAAATAGCTAAATTATTTTCTAAAACATCAAGTATATAAAGTAAAATGAAAAAGGAACGTACTAACACACCAATATAAGAATCAGCAATTAGCAAGTCTAGATTAAATTGGATCGCCTTTATTTGAATATTTACATTTCCAATTTCATATCCAGCTCAATAATATAGTGGCCCTCACCTGACTATATAAAAAAGAAAAAAAAAATAATCAGGCCTCTGGTTTCTTCTGGGTTTGCTTTTTAAAATCCATATAACAAGTAGATCTAAAAAGGCAAAGTTTTAAATTGACTACAGGCAAACCTTGGCACATTTCAGGTTATCTTTAGATGCAATCAGCTTTTACAAGATACCGTCAATGGCAGACTCAAAATTCATTACCATGGAATTTGTCAAATACAGATCTATACAAAACAGGATGCGACTGGTTAAAGAGCAAGCCTTGTGATTCATTTTAACTGACTGAAAGGAAACAAATACCATTTCAAAAATGAAGGTATTGAAAGGCTTTTTTTCTTTTTAAAAAGGCAGGAGTTCAGCTTCACTAATAAAAGTTTGTGGAAAATATCTTAGTTCACATAAACAAGCAAAACTTACAAGCCTGTCTAGTGTGAGTCTGCTCTGCAGCTGTAGAAATTCCAATACAAAACACCTGATCTGGAAGCACAGCTGCAACTATTAAAATAGAGAATGGCCATTTCAAACTCTTCAGTCTCACCTCATCTCAAACAAAAGTAATAAGAATAAACTATCTCCTCTCTAAACTGGGGAGGAACACCCCATGGGATGACCAACTTATAAATAATTTCTAGCTAAAACTATAGGTACCAAGAGAACAGGAGCAAAAATACATGAGTAAAGGTATCGTCTCCAAACCAGCACTATCAGAAGCATGAAAGTAAGAGGTGAAATACAAACAATGCTAATTCTGTTCTTCAATTATATAACATGGAAACAAAAGAGCAGGTAAGGCATTTTACTGATCGTGAGCACAGAATAAGCTTCTTTTTGAGAAACAAGTTTTGTGTCTGATGACAGAGCCTGAGGACCCTTTCTTTAACAACAGTAACAGTCAAATCACAGTTTTTTCTCTAACTTCACTTCTTTGGTGAAACAGTTAAAGCTTAACACTTTCTGTATTTTTTTTTCTTATTCCATTAAACCACACGCACATAAAGACAGCAATCCCTTTGATAAGGCTTCCACAACGCAGCACGGTCTAAAAATCCAATCGCAAGGAATAAACACATACATCAAAGAGAAGAAAAAATATTTAGGCCTTACCCCAAGTTCCCAGCCTTCTCCAGTGATGTAAGGCATCATTCAAAGCTGCATGATGCAAGCGTTTGTTCCCTTTGTCAAGGAGAACTCTTGGATTTGAAAGCCAGCTCATCAGCTATAAAGCTTCTACTGCCAAACTGCAGGTAAGCAGCTCCAAACTGGTGTTAATTCTGGTGCATGCTGCTTCCAGAAGTGCAGCTAAGGTATAAAACAAACACACCTTAATTTCCAGAAGTTAACCTGCTGCACCTGAGGTCTCCAACACAACACCACACAATAGGTCTGCCTCAACACAGCCCCTCCTCCGGGCCTCAGAGCAGGCTCCCCGCCTCACAGCCGAGCCACATAAACCCTCAGGGGCAGCCGCCTGCCGGCCCACATCCACCAGGCCAGGGAAGACCCAACAGCACGGGGTTTGTTCCTCAGCTTGCTGCAAGAAAACTTGAAACGCCAACAGCAAACGTGCTCTTTTTGTGCCAGTGACTAGGGAAAATATGGTTTGAACCAGATGTTGGGTCTCGGGACATGGCAGAGGGAGGCCAACATGCCTTCTGACAGCATGGGAAGGTGGGGTCTCCAGGGCCCACTGCAGGGGCTCCTTGGGCTCTGGAGCCCTGGAACCAACCCCCCAGGGAAACCACACTGGCACAAGGCCACTCATTTTTACGTTGGAAAAGGGTAAAATGTTAGGCCACAGATGAAGGCCTCCTTTGCTGTTAATATCCTGTTGGCCTGGGTGGCTGGGAAAGCGGTGGCCACGGGGAGGGGCCAGTCACTGCAGGCCCCGCATGCCTGAGGGCAGCCACAGCCCAGCCAGCAGCCCCTGTTTTCAATACAAGCAAGAAAGTTCAGGGTAAGGGTGTCCCCAGGTCTGGCCTGCTGTCAGACACCCAGCTAGGGTTCTCTGGTCTAATCAAAATGCTCTCACCACTCTTACACAGATAACTTCCAAAAAATTCAGACTACTTCCATGTCCCACAAACACATAGCCTGAAACGTCCAAGTTTAATTTCTATAACCAGTTTCTACCATCTCATGCTAAGCGGCGATTAAAACAACAGTTGGTGAAAGTTAAGCTTCTTTTTTAATAGATAGCTAGATACAGACTTTGCACGTGGCAGTCTGCTACTAATTTCCGTTCATGTTAGTACGGGACTGCACTTACAGGCTTTAAACTGTGATCATCGTTGATCAAACTGTAAAGGTGTTAAAGTGCAAGGGGAATGCGTACATCTAAAACATGGCTGGTATGTTACTTGAGGCACTCTATTCCAGCCCCGGATCAGCTTTCCCAACCAGCCAAGGAAGGCACAAATTGTGTATAAACAACAACGGAAGGAAATGTAAAAAACCTCTACACTTTTAGTAGATTGAGCATCATTTTAGCTAACAAAACCCCACAAGTTCCATACAGGCTATTAAGAGAAAAATAAGATGTTTCAACTGATTGCAAAGCTGCAACCAGGAGGTGACCAGCTGGACCATGGCAGACTGCAAATGTGGGCTGGTAGCTACACAGCATCAGGACTGTATTGCTCAGGATAGAGACTTTTACAGGGAAGACACATTCTCCTCAAAGGCACAACAAGAACGTTAATCATAATGGTGCAAGTCCTCTCTAGTATTACTTTAAAAGTAAGATTTTTTTGGTAGACTTCATCAAGACAAATCTTGGAAATAGATGAATTTTTACATTCCCACTTTAAAATAATGAAGCAGCTTTCTCTCCAGTCCCACCTGATTGTGGTAAAACTTCAGATGTGAGGTTTTAATGATGAAATGGCATCTGGCATGGGATGCTTTTGACTAGAGACACACAAGCATTATTTTAATAATTTTCGTTTTCCTCCCCTCTCCATTTTTACTACAGAAAGGTTGTCTGGCTCCACTGTAGCATAAATGTAGCATTTTGCCTTGCACAGAAAAGGGAGTGATGCATTAGGCCAATTAAATCCAAACATGAACACAATTTCAAGTTCAATACTTTGTTTCCTCTGGCATCAGAAGGAGAGAACTAAGCTTATGAACAGTTCCCTCACATTGCCTAAAAAGTGTTCCATTATCAAGAGAAATGTGTCATGCATATTTCTGGCAAAAAGAAAAAAGAAAAAAAAAAAATCACACCACTCTTGCAATGCTTACCTAAATGTAGGAGAAAGAGTAAAATGAGTAAGTTTATCACAGAATGATGCCCCATGAAAATACATGAAAACAAAGCATAAGTTACTTTTGAAAGCCAACGCACATCATAACCATCTCTTTTATTTGTTGTAATATAAAGAAGCATACATCATTCAGTTCTTTGAAGTACAATTCAAATTGTACACTAACAAAAAAGATCAATTCAGACATCCATGAACATGTCACAACAGGATTCATTACATTTTGCTCTGCTGGTATTGCACTTGGAATGGTTTTGAAGTAAGGCACAGTAAAAACAAAGTCATTTAGTGCTTCTACAGCAGATGTCTTTTTTTAAACACATGCTACATGACGTAAAGTACTTCTAGCTTATGTATATACACACATGGGGAAAAAGAAAAAAGCATGCACTAGAGGATTTAGATTTCAACATATCTTGTTGTTTCATAATATACAAATAAAGTAGTTTAAAGATGTAAACAAATTGCATGCACATAAACTAGAGCAAAATCTTTAATACAGTATCTGAAAGCTATTATGCTTAAATAAAAAAAAATATAACTTATTAGTACTCAGGTTTATGTGCCATTTTTGTCCTGTAGAGATTAAAAGTTTGGGGCTGGGGGCAGGGAGTTATGGGTGGGAAGGGAGGATTTTCCCAGTTTTGCCATTGTTTTTATTTTTTGCTTTACATGTTGGCAGCAGTACATTGGTAAGACAGACAAATATGGCTTTTGCAAAACAATGTATAATGAAAACATGAGAAAGCACAATTGCATTTGGGGTCCAGCATCCTGGTATTTTCCAGTCAAGAACAAAACAAAACAACAACAAAAAAATCAATATGATCTATGCTTTCAACTGGGAAAGCTATGCATTCCAAAAGACCTTTCTAAAGACATTTGAACTCTACGAAAACCAAACACTTTGTCAAGTGTAAACTTTTAAAAACTAAATACAGAAGAATCTGAATGACTCAAGCTTCACTTTCCACTTCAAATGCTACTGAACAGGTTTCTCCCATGGCTGCGATAGCTGAAGTGCTATTAGATTGTCTTCAGGATTAACTAGATGCTAGGAGCAGGTTTGCTTATTTTTGAACAACTACATTAGAAATTAAGTAAATTAACTGCAAAATTTTTGGTTTCACTTTATCTTTGGCATAGGATACGCCGTTTTTCAAATTAAATACAGGACATGTACCACTCGACATTCCAACATATTATGCTGAAAAGGCACATTTGTTGCTGCCTGGGTGGCAAGGGAAGACTTCTTATTTTGCAAAAGGCACGGTGTTTAGTGCGACATTCTTTCCCCATCCCCCAAAGAGTGTTTAGTTAGACCAGGTACAGTTCTACATAGCGGCTTCCCAGGAGCTGTCCGTTTTTCTCAGCCACTGCTTTCTTAGCCAGATCCAGGCTTGGAAAAGTCACCAATGCTTCTCCACTGGGCTGGCCACTAAAGTTGTAAAGCACGAGGATGGAATCTGCATGGAGCTGCAATGGTACAAGAAGACAAAAGAAAAAAAAAATTATATGAAACTATTGAGACCAGAGACCACATCTGGAAATGCAGTTCTTAATGCTGTGCATCTGGTTCACTCCACTCCTGTGTCTGTGGTGAGAAGATTCTGGATGTGAAAGTAGGAAGGAGGAGAAGAGGCTGAAGATTAGAAGCTTGGCTTAAAGAACAGCAGCAGCTCTTACTCTGCTGTTGTGCTGAACAGAATGGTGTAGACATAATTCCATGCAAAGATTTTTCTAGATAGTCATTCAGATTAAAGGTTGACAAGAAAAGAAAGATCTTAGTAAAGGGTCAATGGAGCAAGAATGTCCAGGCATTCAGTGACTAATTCTTGTACTATGTGGACTACTGGCCAAGTGAGAAAGGCCATAAGGCAAGTGAATACTCACACACACAGTTTAAAAAAAAATAAAAAAATTATAGAGCTGTATGAAAGTTCAGCTCATCCTTCCAACACAGAACTCACAGGTATACAGTGCAAGGAAGATTGTTCAGTAAAATGAAGTAAAATTTGGTGCAGTCCAACTGAATTAAAGAAACATTTACTGTAATTTTAACAGGGCTAAGAAAAAAGCAGGATAGCAAAGGAGATTAGGCACTGGAGTTGATTTACTTTGGAGCACACTTGCCCTCGTGAATTCTTAAAAGCCAGTTTCAAAATGTTGAGCTTAAAGCAGACATCCGTCTGCCCTATGGTACCCCAGCCATTTCCCATAACAGGCTGGAAGTACGGAAGCCCTATTTGTTGGGTAGAAATGGATCTCGGTGAAGTTCCAAAAGCAAAGGTTGAAGGATCAAAAGCTCAGAATACAAGATTAGTTTGTTGGATAAATCAGTGCCAGACAAAGTATATGGTCTGTGCTGGAAAACCAACTAGTTTTATGAATATTAACCCAACTCAAGTTAAGTTCAGGTGATGTATGTCCTCATGATTTTATAAAAAGTTGAAATATTTCAGAGTTTCACTTTTTGCAGAATTTGTGTGTGCCTGGTGTACTGCAATAAATATCAGACTTCTCAGTTATTACCAGCAGCAGTTTCTGATCAGCTTTACATTCACACATATGAAAATAAAGCAAGTACATGCCAGAGCTTCACTTACCCAAACACTCAGTAAGCAGTAAAAGTATTCTTAAAATATAAGCAACAGTACCCTTCAGAAACTAGAAGCACGTGTAAGACAGTTAGCACAGACTTCATATAATTTCTTCTCACAGAACTAAAGTTAGTCAAGAAATAGCATGCAGAAAGAAATTCAAAAGACGAATAAAACATCATGGCTGAAGCCCAGTTCAGGTTTGGAAGTAATCTTGGTTTATTTCAGAATAACACTGTGCTCAAAGAGAAAGTTGTACACTGCTTGGGTTGAGCCGCAAACCTGAGCTAAAAGATGGTCTACTCTAAACCAGCTCTTCGCTGTTAATCCATATGGGATCAAGTCATGTAGCACATCAGTCCTGAACACAAGTTTAATATTGCAGTTCAGAGTCAGATGAAATTTCACATAGACCTCTGAGCACAGATGAGAGCTTTAAAAATAAAGTAGTTGAAATAGCAGCCTTGATGTAATACCAGGGTAAGGATCTGGAAATTCATGTTATAAGAGTTGCATAGAAAGTTAGCAGAGAAGTCTACACATTCTGCAAGCACCATAATTAAAAGGGTTAAATAAACCCCTTCAGTTTCGTTTTCACTAGCTTTACATTCTTATTTATATAGATTTGTCGATAGAAATAGCTTTTTTTTGGTACATATATATTTTAAAATATAGACTCAAATCCATACAAATCTTTTTTTCTGGCTGCTTTGTTCTAAAAAGAGCGGTATCTGTATGATACTACTTTGGACTGCTTAGCATTCAGGATTAGCTACTCCATGAATTATTTTCTAGTCAAAGACTGTTTCCATCTCATACATGGTAGAACCCTATTGCTGATCTGGTTTTCCAGTTAACCTGGGTAAAACAAGACAGCCAAACAGTTTGTCCAAGGACACGTAAATATGGAAATGCTCAGAATAATAATGGGTGTTCTTCCATACACCACCAGACCATGCAGCCTCTAATCTATCTTCTCCTTAGCAGATCTAACATTATCACGAGAAATCAATTAATGAGAAACCAATTAATTTGAAAAAAACTGAGTTGATGGTGATTATGTGAAGGTAGCTTTATCTGTGAAAGTACTTCTATCAAGGCACAGTATTCGATTAACACTTTTTGTATTGAAAGTTTTGTGTGGATTTTTTTTTTTTTAGAAAAAAAAAAAACATAGTAACTTATCAGTAGCATTTTGAAAGGAATACAATAGTGTTGGGAAGTCACAAACTCCACATAGGTCACAACAAAATTTCTTTAAGAATTATGTGTTAGTGCCAAAAATGCAAGAAAGTTTACCATTAGCTAATTTATTTAGTTGCATTTGAAAGTCACTATACCAAAGAAACCTCTTCTAAAAAATATTTAATAGTTCACATTGCTTTAGGAAGATCAAGAAACGGACAAATTAATCTCTAGACAACTACATGATACAGGAAACAGAAAGCTAGAAGTTTGGGGTTTTCTGCACATGCATTCGTGTGCACTTTGTAGGCACATCAAGAAAAAATCATCTTCTACTGCTATGTTAAAAATTAAATATTGGACCGAAAGTTTCACAGGAGGAAAACACCAATAAACCCTTCTGGAAGTTTAACACACCATCTGAGCAGAACCAGGCAATCGCACTACCTCCACCACTGCTATCCCATCAACTACAGATCACAGCTGGCCTGTTTCTTTAGGTTAGTTGATTTTTTTTATCAGGACAAAAGCAAAAAGGTTAAAGCAAGAATGCAGCGCAAGCTAAGAAGGGGAAAAAGCCATAAGCAAAACACTCTGTATCACCAAGCCCTTCTTTCCGTTCCCATTCACCACTGGAGACCCAGTTTCTGCCAGTCGCATCTTACCTTCTTCAGAAGTTACAAAGAGTTACAAACAGACCCACTCTTTCGGTGCTTGTAACACACTCCTTGCTTGATCGCTCAGCTGAATAAGGCCAGTGTAGTCATCAGGTGCATACTACAGTACAAGTGTGATATATGATAATCAGCAAGAGAGGAACAGTTCTGGTATAGCAAGCCACACAGATGATCATTTGCAACCATAATTAAGAGCATCAGCTATAATAACTGGCAGGAGACACTGAATTTGACAGATACTATTTTTACACAAGATTAAAAAAATACATCACCTGAATTACCTGTTGTAGAAATAGATTTAAAGTAAATGCACGTGGGGAATATTCTAAACTGTGTATTTGAACTGTTCCTTATCAAGGAAGGGAAACAGTTTATACCATGAAGTGCTCTTTTTTTCCTTCTACTCATGAGACTGCAGCAACAGGTAACAAAACTCTAAGATTGCATAATCATGCTTCCAATAATGACTCTTGCTGGGACAGATGAGCATCTTCCAGCATGCATTCTGAAGCGGGGGATTACAAGTGTATGGATCTCATACAGCTCCTTTATGGAATCATGGAAATAAACTGCAGCTTCTCCAGGGTTGAGTGATAAACACTTCAGCTGCATATAATAGACTTACAGAGACTACACCAGTGTAGTTAAAGAAAAACCACATCCCAGCATGAATGCACTTAAAGATAAAATAGCATTTATACTAGTATAGTCTATTTCCACATAGGAAAATGAAATAAACTACACAGTGTAACTGCATCATGATAGGTTTGTAGTAGAAGAAAATTAAAATAAAAATAGTGACTATACAGTATAGTCACACCAATAAATTAAAATAAAAAACCCCCACATGTGGATCAGATCTAAGAAATATTTGAGATCCTGAATCCGAACAGTAATCATGCATACTCTTGGAGGGCCTGTACAAATATGGAATCTGTAGCCAGCAAAGAGATCTTGGGGAATATGAAACATTGTTTTGTGTCTATCTAATAATCTTTCCAAAATTACATATCCTGGAAAGGGACTGACCATACTGGCACATGCTACAAAGACTACTGGAGTGGCTCCTGTAATCCCGAAGACAAAATATTTTGCATAACCCAAGTTATAGAATACCCTTCCAGTGGCAAGAAAAATTCCCATCTCCCCCAAAATGGCTGGTTTGCACTAACTTTTTAGAAAATTGCCAAATGCACACAATGTAGATGTACCATGCTGCCTTCCTTTGATATTCCTATAATACAAAGTCTCCTGCCAGCTTAGGGAGAAAAAGGTTTTATATTTGGGCATACAGGACACATTGTATCCATCCAAAATGAAGTTGAAAAGAAAAAAAAAAAAAAACAAAACCAAAAAAAACCAAAAACACCAACCATCATAGAATACACCTTCCACAGAGAACAACAACCAAGAGCCCAGAGAATGTAAAAGAAAAGAACTTCCCAGAATTTTTACTATTGAATTCTAGCCACCTTCACAGCTAGACCCATGCCATTAAGTAGAAGACAAATACAAGAAGTATTTTCTAGATAGTCCCTGCCAGGGCAACCAGAACGTGCAAATATTAGATTTATCAGTTCCCAGACCTGCCCTTGAAACAAATCTACAAAATGTAAGTTTACTCTTTGGAAGGAATGTCTCAAGATAGTACATACTTTAGATTATCAGTAGGCGTACAGTAGGTAAAGGTCTATAGTTTCTTGTGAGGGACAGTGTTTAAAAGGTTACACTTGAAATGCATCAACAATGAGGAAAACATGAAAGTGGGAAAACCACCCTGCACAGAAATGTCAAAGTTGTCAGAGCTTAGGCCTAGGCCTAGGCCGAGAGAGAGAGAGAGAGAGAGAGAGAGAGAATTATCAAAATACCTAGCAACAGAAGCAACTTGTAATCACAAGAAAGGTAAGAGACTGCAGTTAATTAAAACAGAACTTGCGAACAGTACATTCTTCAAACTTACAGATTTCGAACAGTAGTACTGCAAACCAAGCTAGGAAATTAAGTGGGGGAATTC